ATAAATATATAAATTATTATAATAAATAAGAAAATATTTTTTAAAAATAATATTTTTAAAAAATAAAAAATATAATAAGAAAATATAAGAATTTTAGTAAACATAATATTATTTTATATATTTTAATATTATTAAAATCTAATCTTATCTTTTATTTCTACTACGAATATATTCTGATATAAAATTATCTTCTTTCATCGTTACATTATAAAAGATAACATTTCAATATTGATTTTATTAAGAGATTCCAATTATTAACAGGATTATATCTTTTTTTTTCTTAGGAAATCTATGTAAATATTTGATATTTACAATATAACTAAAATATAGATATAATCTAGAATATATTCAAACTTGAAACATGTCATTATGTCTTGCAAAACATAATTTCACATAAACTAAAACAATTGTAACAATAATATCTATTATTTAGATTAATATAAGATTATATAATTAATATAATATAAGATTAATGTACTACTCTATAATATATAATGTAGTATAACTATACATATAGTACTCTATAATGTACTATAACTATATATTACATGCATATATGATATGAAATCATTAGAATTTTTTTTTCTTTTTTATTTAATAAGCTTAATATTGCATCAATATCATAGGTTATTAGATAAAAATTTACAGAGTTAGTAATTTGATGAAAATCTCGATGCAGAATCTCACTAAAATGTTTTAATAATCAGTGAATGAATTGGCTTCATTGAAGCTATTGCCCAATTTCCTCTTAATTTCATTATAATTAGAACAGTCAAAGATGATGTGATTGGTGTATGTAGTTCATATGTTACATTTTTTGCATATTGTTGGTTGGTTTCTGTTGAGTAGATATAGATGAGAGAAGTTTGCTATGATTCTGATTATTATCATTTGCTGTCTTCGATTGTATTTTGAATTCATTTATAGATTGAAGAAATTTCCGATAGATTTGTAAAGTAGGCTTGCTTTGTATGTTTTTCATATTACGGTCCGTGTTTTAATAATATTTTTATGTGTTAATGTCCAAGTATTGTAAATAGATTGATTGTCTATTCTAAGAGCAGCTGCTATTTTTGCTTCAATGTTGGTCATTGCATTTCCGTACATATCCTTATAAGATAGAATCCATGCTAGAACTATTGTTTTGTCATTCTTTTCTATTTTGTTAAATAACTTGTATATCTATGTATATTTCTATCGATTACTTAATTTTTTGAGTAGAGAAGTATCGCAAAGAGAATATGATATATTTGTGATCTAAAGAATCATTATCAATAAATTTAAGGATTAGGATGATTGTAAATGTTTTAGCTAAGTAGACACTGTTAAAGATGTTTAGACTATGTCTAATTAAAATATTTTAGGAAAAAAAAACAGCCTCATACTTTTTATTTTTGAAGCCATCAGTGTATATATGAATAAAAATAAGATATTTAAGACATCAATTATTAAATATATTTTTCCAATCTTCATTGGATAATTTTTCATTTTTATATGTTATCAACATTAAATCAATAAAAAGTATCTTAAGAGGGTATTCAGGGAGGAATTTTATGGACTTTGTGTTTTTCTATAGCAGAAAGATTGAAGTTTATTTTTTTTAAATATTTATTAATTCTTTAATAGAATAGAGTTCCAGTGATTTGGACTTTGCTTTAATTCGACTATTTGAATAAATGTCTGAAAATATAATAGGGTTGGAAGATATCGCTGCCCTTATTACATTTTTTAAATTTAGTAATTTTCTTCTGTATTGTAGAATATGGAACTCTCCAGCTTCAATTAGTATGCTTCTAATTGGACATGTGAAACAATTCTTAGCTATTGTTATTCTTAGCTCTGTATTATGAATAAACGAATCTAGTTTTTTTAAAATTCTTACAAATTTGGCAGAGTTATAAATGATAGATGCATAATCAATTTTGGTCCGAATAATAGCTTTATTTATATTATATTTATAGATTTGTAGTAGGATGCCTTTATCAGTTGCTAGTTAGTTAGTTATTTATGCTAGAGATTTGATAATATTTAATCTTCGTGTGCAATTATCGACTAGATTGCTAATATGTTTATTCCATGTAAGTCTATGGTCAAAGTATATTCCAAGAATTTTAATGCATGTAACAAATTTAAATGCATTATTTCCAAAGCTTAGTTAGGTTTTATAAATTTCACAGAATTCATATGTGAAATAAATTTAAAGAAAAAGTATATAAAATAATTTTTAGAAAAATAATATTTTATTTTCATAATTCATTTTATATATATAGAATAATATATTAGATTTATTTTATAAATTTTTGTTTTTAATAAATTTATTTGTATTTATTTGTTGTAACTAATATATGTAACTAAACATTATTATCTAATATTATTTTTAAAGAAAAAATTCTTACATTACACTTTTTTATATTATATATAAGAAAAAATAAATGTCCTTCCTGATTTAATTAAATTATATATTTTAATAAATATATAAAACATATAAAACATATAA